ACAATACATGTTAACCCAGTTCGGTATAATTACCTACATTCGGAGGATTCCAATTCATGAGACGTCCACTAAATCTATCACCAGGTATACAAAGGACTCAATGACTCAACAAACACGGACCCAAAGCTGACCTCTCTTACGGTCTTCTTTACAGCTCAATGTACAAGAAATTAGAGATTAAACCGTAGTTTTAATCCTAGCAAACTACCAGTCTAATTGAAAGTAAGTAGGTACAAGTTGATCTTCTTTTCCAATTGAAAATTCATTTCCTCCTTCAAGGATGGTCTCATTACGAAATACATATTAATATAACACAATTGCATAATATAAATTGATAACACATTGTCATAGTCCACAAAATACATTGTATAATTGACTTTATCACAAAATATATGTTAATAATAACATAAATATATGGTATAAACACCTACTAATAATTCATATTATTTACATACTTCTTTCGTCATATAAAAATATATTCATTTGATTTAGGTACAAATTTTAATATGGCATATATTTTTATTTTTTATAATAAAAAAAATAGAAAAAATGATTTAAAATGTTAAAAAGTTGTATGATTTTCTTACAAAATATTAAAAAAATTAATAATATAAGTATATGTTAAGTAAGGCTTCTGATTGGCCGTTATAGGCTAAACTACCCCATGCACGACATATGCATATATGGATGATATGGATTGAATGTACGTATATTTTTCAAAATAACTCCAATTACAATTTTCAAACTTACAAGTAATAATAATAATAAGGGTAAATTGTTTTTTTTAGTCCCGTAACTAGATTCTCTTATCATTTTAGTCTCGTAAGTGAAGCATGTCGCAAATTAGTTCCATAAGTGAAAATTTTTTGTTATTTTAGTCCTCCGGAGCCGGAGACGCCCACGTGGCTCGTCGGAGGCCACGTGTTCGCCAGGTGTCGTTGACCTAGCGGGACACCTGGCGGACACGTGGCCTCCGGTGAGCCACGCGGGCGTCTCCGGCGCCGGAGAACTAAAACAACGAAAATTTTTCACTTATGAAACTAGTTTGCGACAAGCTCCAATCACGGGACTAAAATGATAAGGGGTCTAATTAGAGACAAAAAAACAATTTATCCTAATAATAATAATAATAATAATAATAATAATAATAAGAATGTCGTGATTTTAATATATACACCTACATATTTATATATATAATATATATGTATCTAGGTGTTTCATAAATAGGTCAAATTTATACAATAATTATATGTAATTGATGTGGAATAATATTTAGCCCTTAATGATATGCAATTTCATAACCATATTTTTAAATATACAATGTTATTAATAAAAATATATTATTTTTTCTTAAGAATATTACCCTGAATAACTACTTTACAAAAAACTAAACCACACAAACTAAATCACATAAGAGTCTGTAATTTTTTAGAGCTTTGAAAATTGAATATAATATGATGTAAATATGTGTCGAGGATGAAATGCTTTATATAGAAAATATTTTCTTAATATAATATTTAAAATAAAAAATAAATATTTGATGTAATTTTTTGAAAAAAAGATTATATTTGAATAAATAATACAAATTTTTAAAAGTGTCTCAGTGTAATTAATCAGAATCTAATTATGTTATAAATCTTGCATTTTTCTTAGATGTAGAGCTATTAAATGAATCAATTCATTTGTGAACTTAGTTCGATTTCGTTTGGTTTAAGTTTGGTCGCAAATGTACATAAAGTCGAATAATATAAATAGACTCGTTTATTAACAAATGAGCTATATATATAATTATTAAATAAATAAATAAATACTCCCTCCGTCCACTAAATAAGTATATATTTACTTTTGGCGCGGAGATTAAGGAATAATAGTATTTTAATTATAGTGGGTAGATAAAAGTAGTGAAATGACATTTTTGCCCTTACTTTTTTGGTATAAAAGTAATGATGTGATGTAAAGTAGGGGTATTTGTGGAAAAAATTGGGTGTTTAATGAAATGGTTACTTTGTAATTGGACGTCCCAAAATAGAAACATGTATACTTTCTAGCTGGACAGGGGGAGTATTATATATATGAATTAAAAAATATAATATACTCCTTTGATAAATTGTTCACTGTAGACATGAGAATTCAAATAAAGTATAATTAATAAGTAATAAAAAGTATATTAGTAAAAATAATTATAGTATAATAAAAATAATATAGATTAAAAAAAAATTAACTAATATAATTAAGATTAAAAACTTTTGAAATTTAAAATGTGATTAAAATGTATTTTTGAAAAAAAAAAAAAACTAACAAATTTTATATATGACTGACTGAAATAGAAAATATGAACAATTCATATGAAACAGAGAAAGTAATATATATATATCCAAATGAATTTAATCTAGCCAAACATGCACAAACACAATTCAAACAATAAAATTGCTTAACGAACCGAATTCGAATACTATAAACGAATTCGAATGCTTAACGAACAAAAACGAATCTTGTTCATAAACATTAACGAAGAAACACGAATATTTAATCAATTCAACTCATTAACAAGTCTAATTGCATGTAACGATTGCTATGTGGATTATTTAAGGAAAGATAAGTACAATTCGCCACCTATCAATAAACATGGATTTTATAGAGCCCATCCACCATACTTACTTTCAATATTATACTCACTTTGTTCTCAATATATTTTTTATATATTCCCACCTTCTGACCTATAATTAAATATTTATTTGCTTTTTTACGTAATTTTAGAAATATTAGTATTATATTGAGATGTAGTAGGAATAAAGTAGAAATGACTAAAATAATCTTATTAGTATGTGTGGTATAAAGGTAATGGTATTTTTGTAATATATGTAAGTTGTAAGGATATTTGTAATGTTAAGTAGATAGTACAGTTACTAAAAAAAATTGATATTTTATTATGAGACGGACTAAAATGGAAAAATAGATAATTTGTTATGGGACGGATGGAGTATTTATTTAGCACAGTTTTTTAGATAGTATAATATTAATAATGTTTTCACTGTTTTATATTACCTTTTTTTCAGATTTTATAAAGTATATTTACAAAAAGAAAAGAGAAAATTATTGTGGCAAAAAATCGAGACACCTCAAATTAAAAATAATAACAAAATGTTTGGTGATTAATAATTAACAAAAGATTTGTCTAGAATGACCAAATAGTTTGCTACTCCATTATTTTAAATTTGAAATATTTCAAAGTTACTTTTTTGCAACTTATTTTTATTTACATAATTTTTTCTTTCACTTTTAAATTTCATTTTATAAAATTATTACAAATAAAATACTTATAATTAAAAAAAATAAAAATTTATTGATATAATTATATCACCTAAAAACTACACGAGAAAAGTAAAACTAGACATAGTTTTGGGATTGAAGTAATATTTGATTTTTTTTTTTATGGTAAATTCGATAACACCCCTTATATTTTACTAAAAATGAATAAAAAACACTTAGTATTCTATTTATTGCGTGAAATATTCTTGTGTTAGTGTAAAGTTTGTACGATACATCCTCCTTGTTTTGGTTATAAATAAAGACCTAAAGTTAAACAAGTTTTATACAAATAAGAAACGTAAAATATTTTAAATAATTTTTTTAATAAAATAAATAAATAAATGCTTAATCTTTTATTTTTATAGTATTTGAAGATAAATTGTTATCTAGTTTTTATAAAAAATATAAAATAAATTATTGATAAATTATTTATTTATTTTATTTAAAAAAATTATTTAACATATTTTACGTTTTTTATTTATATAAAATATGCGTAATTTATTTTTTTTATTTATGACCAAACATCAGTTTTAGACAAATAGTGTTTCATGTATTAACACAAGGGGTTTTAACGCAATAAATAAAATATAGAATATTTTGTATAATTTTACAATTACCTCTTTTTTTTTTTCTTTTTTTTTTAGTGTACCCTTCTCGATATAATGGGAAAAAATAAGTCAAAATTGCAAATGAGAATATAATCTATAAATAAGTAAATAAATAAATAAATAAAATTGCAGGGTAAGAACAAACTACGGATTATTTTAAATATGTACTGTAAAATAAAAAATAAAAAGCAGTCAAAATATAGACAAAAATGCACAACCACCGTGATAAGGTAGTCCAAACTGGAAGGCAATAAACAAGGCGACTTCCTCGGACATAGACTCAAAATAGAAGGTCCTAGGAGCCTATCATCATGTGCATCTATACCATTAATAATTCATGGGGCCCAATCCATCAATGGCTAGATATTATTCAGGAGCTGAGAGCCTGGACCCCCCCTAATTAGATATCAACAGACACAAGAACATTGCCAGACTCTGCACAGAAAAAGGAAATTGGGAAGGACAAAAGGGATTTCTTCCCAAGAAATTATTATCAGAAGGCACGAGAGACACTTACAAACAAACCCTTTTTTTATATTGCTCGTAAAACAGAAAATTGATAAAAGTTCGAAATTAAAATATAAGAATAATAATAATAATAATAAAACAAAATAAAATAAAAATTGCCGCGGCTACGGTGCTTGAATTTTAAAATTCAACACTATCTGACAACACAGTAGCACACGGTGTTTCTGCCGGCAGCGCACCGTCTGTATTCATATAATGCAAATACAACACATGAACTAACAGGATTATCTTAAAACAACACAAATACAACATATGGACTGACAGCACATGCTATAATTTTATACAACACAAATACTAATTGATTTCAACACACCACGTACTGTTATAAAGCACGCTATAATTGTAAAGCAACATCACATATCATTATTATATTCAGCTTGCGTTGTTTGTATATATTACGGATTCTGATTAATTTTTCAAATTCATCGCCCTATCCGTTCTATGTACGAAACATAGGTACACTAAATGAAAGCATATTATATATGTCACACAACCTGAATATTCAAATTATAAGAATAAAACCCAAAAAAAAGTATACAACAATAACAGCAACAATAATATGTAATACTATTATTTAAATATAATTATTGTAAGCTAATTAACATAGGCAAACCCTGTAATTTAATACAGTAAGTGTGGATCGAAGGAAGTGAGGGTACAGAAACCCTAATTAGTAGATTGAGATTAAATAATTATTTATTTAATTGATTATGAAGTGAGTGAGTCTTGGAGATGATCGAAGACGATGATGAAGATGGAGATGGCCAGAACTGAGCATTCTTCACTTTGGAAATACTCGAGAGGACTCCCAGAGGTGTCACTTGTCCGATTACTGTAACCTTTTTTGTTGCTAAATCTATGCTGAATGATCTCACTCCTGTCATCAAATTCATGTATTTATATATATATATATATATAGAGAGAGAGAGAGAGAGAGAGAGAGAGAGATGGGCTTGCCTTCCATTCTTGATATGTGTTTTCTCAATTTGCCTTCACAGCCCTTGCAATGAATCGACACCCACAACTCGACAACCTTAAAATAAGAAATGGAGGATTAATATATATATATACATATATTATGGAATTAATTAATTAATTGGTGAATTAATATATATATATATATATATATATAAAGAAGATTGAAATTAGACCTGATGACGATGGCTGGGAGTGGAGGAGTTTTGTAACTGTGAGGCTGATTTCTGACCGTCCAGATGATCCTTCAATCGGACGGCTGAGGATCTCCGGCCGTCCTCGCCGCCCTTCTCGTACGGCTTATACACCGGCGATTCATATCGCGGCGAAGAGGAATAATTAGTGGACAACGACCTGAATCCTCCGGCACCGGCGCCGATGATCTTATCGCCATACCGTTGCCGGAAAGTGTACGCCGGCCCGGAAACAAGCCCGCGGTCAGGATCCTGAACGATATCGAAGAAAGGCTTATCGCTCAGCAAGTATCTGGCGGATCCCGGCGGGCTTCTCGGAATGTCGTCGGCGTCGGCGGAGCTTTTCCGGCGGAGGGCGGCGCCGGCGGTCGGAGGTTTCCGGAACGGCCGGGAAGGGTCGAAAGGGAGTTGGGAGATGCAAGGGGCTGCGGCCGCCGCCGCATTTGGCCTGCATGCCCTCGGCGTTCCGCCGAGGCGGTGGCGGACGACGGAGCGGTGGTCGGTGCCGGAACATATGGCGGTGGAAGCCGGGGAGGCGCAGAATAGATCTATGGATTTCATTTTCTGTGAGGATTTTGGTTATGGCGAAGGACAGTGAAGAGGGGAAATTAATAAAAACGTAAAAGAAGGGATCTTCGAATGAGGATATAAAGTTGGAAGAGGGAAATATAATTAAATTTTAATTAATTACAATTTACTAAAGAATTATGAAAGAAAGGAGAAAAGCGGGGAGAAAGAAAGGGAAACTGGTCCCAAGAAATTATTTTTTTTTCCCCTTAATTATGTGTAAACTTTATTTAAAGATGGGATTATTATTACCCTTATTATTTTCTGATCATCACCGCAAGACAAGGGTCCCGGACTCCAACCCCAGGTTTACCCCCCCGGGTTTGTGTGAACCATCCGGTTCCGAGGTCCGGGAGCGCCCAAGAATGGGGTGGGATATTCTTGATTTTTGTTGATAAATTATTTTTGTTATTGTTTTGTTTAATGATGTTGGTGTGGACTTTTACAGGTTTGTGATGATTACAAGCACTATTGGGAAATTTGGGCAAAAGAATTGGGCAGTTGAGTGTGTTGCAAAATTTGGGAATGTTAATGTTATTGAAAGATGATTGCAGATTAATGACCTAATTTGACTAATTTTGGGAGGCGTGGATAGCCGAAAGTGTAGCCTTTTGTTGACTGCTCTTTGCTTTGGGAGTTTTATGGACTTGTTTGTTAGGGTGTATTATTCACTCAAGCTTAAAATTAGATATAGATGATATATATATATTCTCCGTCTCAATTCAAAGAATAATTTTTATCATTTTTAATTTTATTGGTCTCATTTTCATGTATTAGATTTTTTATTTTAAAAAATAGTTATTATATATTAACATCAACATAATTTAAATATTTACTTTAATAATTACAAATATATACATATATAATTATTTTTATAATCATATATAAAATAGAGCAAAAATATCAAAATTTGTTACACGTTTTTACTAATTAATAAAAACATTGTTATTTATTAATATACTACAGAATTTCAAATAACTCTTTTGATTTAGGGACGGATGAAGAATATTATTTTATCCATCAAATATATGTCTACTAGCGGGTAACCCGTATTATGCACGGATATTTTATATATTAAATTATAGGGTGGAAAAATACAAAAAATGTAGTATTTCGTATATCGTATATAAAAATTATCATATTTTCAGTATACTGTAAATTTTGGTACGATTTGATAGTGTATCGTCGATTTTGATGTTATAAAAATATAAAATTTGCATACCGCAATTTATCGTTACCATGCATACCGAAGTTTAATATATATTACGATACTAATATATATTAGTATTCAGTATATATAAGTGTTACGGCATATACCAAAATACATAATATAATAAATTAACTATATAAAAATTAAACAAAAATTATTATATTAATACTTAAATTTTAAATAATCACAATTTTTAATATTTTTAGTTATTTTTATTTTCTAACGTAATATCCATGATATGCAAGAAAAAAGATAAATTTAAAAATAATTTTAACATTATTTATTATATTAAATTTTAATTTATTTAATATTGTCTTTTCAATATGTATATTCTTTATAAATAAAAAATATTAAATACCCAACAAATAAAATATATAAATAATAAAAATTAGATAAAAACTATTTTTATACAAAATTTTGAAATATTAAGAATGAAAATAATAAATTAAAAATAAATTTTTCATGTATTAAAATTTATTATACTTTTTTTTATATGAATTCTTTATAAATTCCTTCAAATGCAAATATTTAAAAAAATTGAACATAATTTACAAAATTAAATATATATATATATATATTAAAATATAATACTCGAAATTCAAAAAAAAAAAAAAAAAAAAACCATACATAATAAGAATAAAAAAAATGGTTAAATAGTAAAAAATAAAAAGAACATAATACATACTTAGAAAACACATACAGACTAGGAATAAAAGTACTCAAATAAAAATAAAAATTTTAAATATTAAAATTTTGTATAATATTTTGTATAAATGTTTCAAATATTTTTTTTTCCAAATTAAAAAAACTCAAAATTTAGATATAATCTAAAAAATTTAAAAATATATTAGAATATAGTATTCAAAATGAAATTAATTAGTATACTTATATTTAATAATAGTATACCCTTGTTGTATGATATTGTAGACTATATTTTTTTAAAAATACTTTGATTTGTTAGTATATACTATGACTACTCGTCTATGAACTTTGGTATTTATTTTATATACTTATATATTGGATAATATTAAAATCGTATTGCTATACAGTGGTGTTTGCAAAAAATAATAAAAATTGAAACTAATTTCGCTGAAGATTAAGATTTGTTCACCGTGATGATGGTGAGAATTGAAAAAAATTCTTTTTTTTAGAGATAAATATTCGGGATTTCTAAAGTATATTCCCGTCGTATTTTCTGGAGTCCACTTTTCCTTGACACATAGTGGACAACTTTTGCACTCAGGTATCCGTAGAATATGTGTCATTTATTATATTATGTATAACAAGATAATTATATTTCGTATAGGTAATGCGAACATATCAAATGCATTAAAAAAAAATGATAGACATCCGTTTTTAACAAAGCCGGATATGCCCCTTTACGGAAGATGTTTGAGCAGCATGTAAAGTCTGTTGTAAAGACCATGCCATTTTCCTAAAATTTCATTGCACAATCGCAGCCCGAGTGTCGGAAGAATTCTCTATTTCAAGGGACTCGTAGGAGGATAGTAAATAACAATATAGCTAAGTTGTGGAATAGTTAGGTGTGCTCAACAAGGTCATTGCATTTTGTCCTACCATGCCGGCCGAAACAAAAACGGTTTGAATCACAACAGGTGAAACAGTCTAAAAAAGTATGGTCGTTGTGGTAATTTAGGACACAACTGACAACGTTGCAAGAAGACTCTATCGTAGGTATTTCTAATTTGATGTCTTGTGGCTGGAATTTCCTTTTATTTTTTGAAGATTGTAAATGTAAATCTATGTACGAGACCACTATCGAATGATTTGGAAATTAGATTATATTCCCCTGTATATTATTGAGCATACACAATTATTATGTTGGGGTACATATCATTCAAAACCAATTCTTCTAAAGTAGAAAACAAATGTATGAGTATTCATAATGAAAGTACATTAAAAGTTATTATAGTTACATACAATATAACTAGGAGTAATAGATACTAACAACTATATTATATTGCATATGATATTTTCTTATTAAAATTTTCGTAATACTTGAGATTTTTTATGACTCCTAAGTACTCGTTATATTATAACATGACCTATTGTTTATCCACATCGTTTATATAAAATCACATTAACATAAATTGTATTTATTTATATGGGTATTTAATTCTTGCAACGGAGTTATTACAATAAAAATATGACTATGTTATGATGTTCAGAGAGTATATTTTATTAATACCAGAGATATACATATCCAAGTAAGAAGGTATGCCTTTGTGTATAGAAATATTCATACTTGTATATAGGTATAATTACAGTAAACATAGAAATTTAAGTTTCTATCTAGAATTTGTCATTGATTGGTGTTGGATCAAATAGCTATAAGTTAATTACATCACACTCACTTTATTAAAAATTAGCGTGCATCAGCTGATATTTCTAAAACGACCTATAAGATCACCTATCAATGTATTGAAGGATGGGTGAGAATCTTACTTAGAATAGACCTGTATAACATACTATGTGGTGAATTGTAATAATAGATATTTTGGAGTTGATGTATAATCGATGACGTATGATATTCTTTGTCTTGTAATTTTCAATGCAAATATATATATATATATTATAGTAGAAAAAAATACCCCAACAATAATAAGTGTGTTAGAAGTTATAAAAAATAAATATTACTCATGAAACATATTGGACATTCCCATAATGTACGGAATAAATCATAATTGATGTGTATATGTGAACCATAGTCATTGATGTGTACACGAAACGTATCCATCAGTGCCTTTAGAATAATTTAGTGAGTACACATCTTCTCAATATAAGTTAAATATGTATAAGTCTATTCTCCAATACAAATACATTAAATCATTTCAGAAGTATGTAACTTAGTGAAAGAAGGAACAAATATCATCATTGTGGATATGTAACTTCCATTTAGAGGCTTGTTGAAACCCGACTATGAAATTTTGCAAACTGAAGTATATCAATTACTTATATGAGTACGTATTTTCTTTCAATACATTTTCTCACATTATGTATACCAATACATGGTTCCATAACAGTAGCCTTATAGTCGATCTGTTAGAGTATTTGACATTTCGAAACCTATACATATATAGAGACAAGCTAGCACATGTTGGATATTGAAATTTGAAAGAAAATTGCATGTTGTTTTGACCTCATCTTCAGAAATGCATCATCTACAACAATATTAATTAAAGTATCGTACAACTTCTAGTTCGAAGGATCGGAAACAACGGTATGTTGGTCTCCAATTTCACCCTAATCATGTTGCAGTTTCACAAATTATTAATCGAAACACACATTATATACCCAATTATATAATATTATTTATAGAATATTTTTAGCTAAAATAAAGGTATATGCAGAAAAGATAGTCGTACTTCGGTGAGCAAAAATAATGAATTCTACATAATAACGAAGGTACATACAAAGAAGAATAAAGTTACGTACAAATATTTTACTAACTCTGATTGTTTGTTTATTTTTCTTACTCTTGTCTTTCCCCTACCTTACTAAAAAAATACAAATGAAGACACTTCTATAGACAACAAGATCATTTATAATTTAAAACACATCAAAATAATTTATATTCGACCCGATGGTACGATACATTACAAACTAAAATGATCTGGCACCAAGGCTTGTACAAACCCAACCGAGGTATAAATAAAATAGATTTGAGCACATCACAAACTCAAAAAATTAATTCTACAAAGAATATAAATTATAATATACTTTTTCGAACTCTTCTTTGAGGGGAGGTCTTTTTAGCCATCTCGAGCAGGATTGAACCTCTCGGCAATGAGGGAAGACTTCCTGCGGTGGTGAAGCTTTCTCCGGGGAGGTTCAACGACAATTATTTTAGCGGGGTGCTTTGGCGGCGATGGCAGAGTGGGAGGGGATGTGCTTGGAAGAAATAAACTT